GAGGAGGGGCTGCCTCCCCCTACCCGGGCCCGGAGCGCAGCCAAGCCCGGCTCAGCTTGCGTGAGCGCTTTTCCCCAAGCTCATGCCGCTCGGCTTCAGTGAAGCCCCCTTGCTCTTCTGCTCGGGTTTTGTGCAAAGCCCTCTCCGGCCTCTCAAGACAAGGCTGTGAAGCGCAGGGAGCCCTAAGCAGACAGAAAGGCTCCAGGCACTGCCGAGCACTCTGCTCTAAAGGAACTGAGAGAGGCTCTGCATCGAGCCTGGAGAGTCCAGCAAAGGAAGGGGCAGCCACATCACAGAGATAATACCTCCCAATCGGTGAGAGAAACAATCCACGTTTGGGATGAAAATAAATTTCCTCCCCCATGGAAAAAGTGAGGCACCACTTAACTATCTTCAGTACAGCCTGTCCTATGATCTTGGTGCTGCATGCCCTGTGCTGGACATTATTACATTTCCCTTTTGTTTCCCACACTGATGGCATCGTTTCTTCATTTCTTTCTTAATCTAACCAAATTGTGAGGCAGTGAAAGAGAGCTTGGGTGGGGTATGGCACAGACTTGTCCAAGGGCTTAGTCACCGGGAGATGAAAGGCATCCAATCCCAGCCTCTTCCTCAGAACGGGACTACAAAGGCTTTTTACAGTCAGCTCACACTCCTGTGCAGGGATCCACGTACGGGGCTGCCAGCAGCACCCTTGGTGCTTTTCCTCTCTGCTCTGAGCAAACAGCGCTGCTTTCTAATGGAGGCTCATGTCCCCACACCTCCCATCCCATACCCTGGGATGCTGGGGAAACGTGCCAATTTCCCAACCCTAAAACCAGTCATGGTACACTGCTTATGAGAACCTACTGCCCTGTTAAAAGACTCCCAACAGGGTTTTTACTAGACAAATAGCCAGCTGAGCATGGGCAATACCTGGGTCTTGACTATCCGTCACTGGGCTATAAAGCATAAAGTTCATATTAATCTTGCCAGAGTGATGATACTGAGATACCACAAGTAAACAAACAAGTGAGCTTTATAGCTTCAACAACAATGAGCTGAGTTCTGACATTTTACGCTCCATTTGCTTTGGCAGGACTGCAAGATGGATAATAGAGGGCAGAATTTGGCTTTGAAAATATGATAGCTACTGTGACGGTCAGCCATTTTATTCCATCTACATACTTCCATACATACTACATGAAATAGTGCACAGAAATCTCCCTGTCTTAGATAAGTGTTGTCAAGGCTGAAGTCAGCCCCCTACATCTCATTTATCTGCTGTGGAATAGGGAAGATGGAAAATAAACAAACCACTAAAAGAAAGGAGGATCTCTGGATCCAGGTTGTTGAGTACAATCCTGCAAAATTAGATTATTTCTCAGGCACAGCTAAATATTTCACACTTGTGACTGATACTGTGTTCCTCAGTTTTTTGCTGCTGGGTTTGTGCCCCAGGGGTTGCTTTACAGATGTGCTGAGCTCTCGGGCAAAACTCAGATCAGCAACAGAGTGTTTTTGTACAGAGACAGCACTAGAGAACACTTAGCGGGCATTAGCGGGGGGGGGGGGGGGGGGCAGGGGGGAAGGAAAGAAACAAAAAAATAAAACAGTAACAGGTCCTAATTGTCTTAAATTGGATGCTCAATATTAATGAATAATTCTGGTTTATCTTCTCACACTTTCTCAGTTTACAAAATGAAGTTACGCCCTGGCGCAAACACAAACACACCCAAGAGCAGCAGTAAGAGAATACTTGTAACTAATCAGTGAATTATATAGACAATGCCATATGGAGTGTTAATTAAAAGAAAAAAAAGGTATCGGTATCTTGGTTCTTTCTTAAGCACAATTTGAATAACACAAAATAAGAATGTGTTGGGACACACAATAATACAAAAAAATGAGTACTGATGTGATGCACTGAAAAAAGAAAGCGTTGGGAAAAATAGGGAGTGCTCTTATAATAAAGGACTTCATCAGACCGCACACAGAGTTGGGCTGACTTCAGACTATATTAGGAAAAAGTAGCATTTGAGCTTGACTTCACAACCTTGAGAATGTCCTTTCTAGTATAATTTTGGTAGCTGATCATGTGAACAGTGTGTGCACATGTTTGTACACAAACACCATGTTAAGACATTCAAGACATGAGAAATATTTTATTGTTCTATTATTATTTAGAAACTGTACTCAGGATATTCTTTCAAGATCTATATTCATATTAAAAGTCAACAAATTATTACTAGACTGACATATTCAACTTGCTTATATTTTCACTCTTGTTTCAATTTAGAATAACAAGAAACATTAGGAAAATGCAGGATAAGCAATATGCTTCACAATTTAGAACTCTCCTCTAGTTCTGTAAAAAAACAATTAATTTTTACTTGCACTATATGCACAAAGACAACGCTGGAAGAGGAATTGCAGCAAATCTGCGTTTTCATAATTTCTCATTTAAGCACATGCAGTTTTTAGCTCATCTTGAAAACTTCAGCTCTCAAATTAAAAAAATAAATACCTTTGAGGTTTAATATATTAAACTAAATGTTTTATTTTAACCCCTCCCAAAACACACATACACAAATTCATTCATTCCTCCTTGGGGCAATATTCTGATACCTTTTCTGAATAGCACCGAAAGCCATCTATCTAAAGTTCTCGCCGAGCAAGTTGCTTTCTTGTACAACGGTACAAGAAGATTATTCCTGAATCTGACCATCTCTTCCTTAAATTTCACTAATGTAGGGTTAAGCCTTACCATCGATGTTTAAAGAAATCCCATTGATTTAAACATTTAGCTGTTAATAAAGACTAGTGTTTTTCAATGGTGCCGAAATCAGTTGTCGTGGTGGGCTGGAAGTACTCGGTGCCGCTGCAGAGTCAGTTTAGAAGTTATTGTCTGTATTGAGGTGCAGATCGGGATGCCTCTGTTGTTGGCAACATGCAAATACAAAGTCTCAATGGTGGCATCACTTCAACAGCAACGGGAAAAGAGAAGTGGCCCAAAGCTGGGATTTTCGGCACACTCCGTGGTATGCGGTGGCTGTGCATATTCCATATATAGAAGGAAAGTGTGCACGATACTTTAGGTGTCCTAAAAGTAGATTTATCTTCAGCCTTTACTCTCCACCAGAGACTCCTCTGAAAAGCCTATTGTTTTCCCTGTAAAAGGTAATTTCCCTATGGAAAGCTTCTAACTGAGCGGAGTTTAGAGCAGTTTCAGGGTTGTTTCCCATCTCCATAAATCTGACCATAGGGGTCTCTTGAAAGAAAATTGCTAAGAATTTCCAACTGGACTATGTAATCACAGCGCCTGGTATCAAGAGGAGCGGGGGTGACATGAAATCACTGACTTGTGACATACATTCCTCAGCAACAGCAGCTGCTGCCTAATGACAGCTAATAAAGGGAATCTTCCCTTGACAGAGCTGCATGCCTGCAGTGGGACTGGAATGTGCCCCAGATAAATCCACTGATAACCTAGGAAGCAGAGATCACACCCAAAGAGTATAAAAGACAAGCTTCGGAAGAGAGAGGATAGGACAAGGAAGAGAGAGACTGAAGAGACATCTCAGAAGGAACAACTTGAACTTCCCTATTCCCAACGAACCCAGCGCCATGGACACTAAAGGCTCATTTTCTTGTGGCTTCCTCTTGCTACTTCTCATCCAACTCCAGTCCAGCAGAGCCAACCCTATCTACAGCCTCAGCCCTGCCAAAGAACTGGCCAGCATGGAGGTGAGGACTCTCTCCTTTTGCAAGGTTAAACTTTTGGGGTGCTTAGCAGAGTGTGAGGTGGTGTTTGTGCCTTTCTTTTGCATGATCGGATAGCCACATCAGCGATCGCATGCCAGGGGACAAAGTCTCAGTTCTTCACAGGGGTTCAAACACGCTCTATAGAGCAATATCCTCCAGTGCTGGCTTCACCTGAGCTCCTGGGTAGCAGTGGGAAACAAAATTCTGATGTTGTGCAATGTCTGCTTTGGGTTTTTAGTTCTTTTTCTCTTAAACAACCACCTTCTGGGGAGCAAAGTTGCAGAGAGGGAACAAATCATCACAATAGTTCTACAAGAACAAATAGAAAACTTTTGGGTGGGGTCCTGTTTATCCCACTAAATGGCAGGAACAGTGAAGCAGGACAGCTGTACGGCTCTAGCTTTGTGGATTTAAGAGAACTGGCTGTATGTGGATGGGAGATGAGGAGGTAAAATGGAACACCCAAAGTCAAACTTCTAGAAAAGTTGCTAGAGGAATAGTATGATCATATAGCGTGACTCATCCAGAAAAGCTTCTAGAGCTATGAAATTATCACGTGTATTTTAACAAATGATAGAGAACATCCATTGTTGCAGCACAATACAAGCCTCAGTCTTGCAAGATGAAGTCTGAAGGCTCAAGCATTTCCTTGGACTGGTACCAGTGACCAGTTTCTCACAGTATCAGACCCTGAGAACAAACTCCCTAAGATGATTAGGACAGTGTCAGCCAAAGCTAAAACTATGCCATGCCTCTAGGCTGTTTCCAGCAGCTAGCCAAGAGGAGTGGTTTCCAAATGCATTCACTGTCAAGGAAGCCATAAGACTCAGTCCTCTCCACTCTACTTCTAGAGTTGGACAAATAGATTCCTCTAACTGGTTGAGCTGCCCTTGAGGAGGTTATCTGATCCCTGTTACACAAGCTTTAAAAATCATAGAGGATGGTACTCAGGAAGAAGTCACATAGCAGATTATAAATTTAGCATACAGGTGTTTTCAGGGAGATGTGGGTTACTGAAGGAGCAGCAATCCTGTAACTCCTGGGGCAGAGGTTAAGAAAAACACCAAGAGCTTCTCCAAGTGATGTCCACTGAAATAGCCAGGGGTGACAAGCTAGCAGATGGTCTTAGCAAAAAAAAAAAAAAAAAAAAAAAAAGCAGAGAAAGCCAACTACTGGCAAGCAGCATTGCAGTCAGCTTCTGAAAATGTGGGAGTGACTACAGATTCAGAGGTACTTTAAAATTGTGTACCACTGGTGGGTTGAGTAGTATCTCCCTGTGCAACCCAGACATTGCTGCTTTCCTATCAAGAGCAATTCTAACCTTGTCAGTAAGATACACTTCCGTAGCAAGCAGCTTCAATCAGCTCTCAGCTAAAGCTACCCATTGGTGGAATTAATGTGAACAGGGATTTACTGCAGAGGACAGAGCTCAAGTCCCACCAGCAACCCCAGGATCCAACCTGACAGTCTCCCTAGGGGTGCCTATGGGACCATTGATAAATGCAGAATTGGATTGCTGGAAGAGCTAGCAAATGACCACAAAACTAGGAGTTTCATGAAATTAATCCTTCTCTTGTAGGCTCTTCTGGAGCGACTGGAGGATAAATTTGCAATGATTGAAGCCCTGGAGTCCAATCCTGATCTGCAAGAGCCCAAAACCCAGGAGGAGATCCCACCAGAACTCATAGATGACAGTGACGATCAGAAGGCTGAACCCAGGCTCGCGCCCAGCACCCCTCTGTCCTACAGGGACACCTTCCTCAAGAGACTGAGGGGGCTGCAGATGCCCAGGATGATGAGAGATTCTGGCTGCTTCGGGAGGAGAATCGATAGAATTGGCTCCCTGAGTGGAATGGGTTGCAATGGTGAGTCCCACCTAAGCCATTTCACTGAACAGAACAGACTGCATCTATGCCACGCAACAAGGGAGAAGCAGGTTCTGATTCAAGTCTTTAATAAGACAGAGTTTGAGAAAGGAATTAATTTTAGTCTAATATTTAAGCTAGTATTGGTTTTTCAAAAGAAATGCTATGTCTATTGATTTGGCAGGTAAAAGCACTGCTGACAATGGCAGCATATACCAAGAGAAAAACAGATTCTAGTAACGTTTATTTCATGTTTGGCTTGCAGGTTCCAGGAAGAATTAGGACAAGCTCCCTATACTCTACTCTGAAGAATGCTTTACAGTACCCGCTCCTCCCAAGATGAAAGCCGGATGCTTTCTAAACTCTTCAACAGAAAGTTATTCCTATATTTATTTATTTATTTATTTATTTGATGTTTTTTTAAAGAACATTTCTTACTCTAGCACCAAGAGACCATCTTTAAATAAAACTAACACAGTAGACATCTATGCTGGACCTCTCTCCTGTCTGTTGCATTAAAATTTCCTGTATTTTCCTAAAGTCAAAAGTGTATGTTTTATTGATACTCTGGTACCCACAAGGCTGGATCTTACTTACACATGACAGAGAAAGTATGAACTTGGTAAAAATGAAAATGAGTTTTTCACTAGAGTTTTTCCCTCTACACCAAGAAATTATAACAGATTAGCAGGAAAAGCAGCTTGCTCAACACTGAAAGATCAGCATGAGTCCTCCTATAGACAGGGTTTCAGTAACAAGAGAGTCCTTTTGCTGATATAGATTATTTAGTCAAGGGAACTACCACAACTCCCTCACGTAAGCAAAATTCACATGAAAAGAAATAAGAAAAATCGTAACGCTCCACAACTTACAAGATAACCAGAGGGAGGAAAGGGAATTCATTGTATATGCTTTCTAGCACTGACCAAATAAAGGTTACAACCGTCAACAGAAAGATACATCATTAACTGTGTCTTGTCTCACTCTGCATGTGGCTGAGGTGCTGATCCCCAGTGTTTCTTGACAGATCCTCAACGGGCTTGAATCCTGTCATGGTATTTCTCATGTGAGGGCAGGTGGGATCACTCCAATTACAAAGCAGCTTGTATACAACATTTATCACTTTCTGGGAATGGCCTCTCATAAAGTTGTTCTAAACATGGCTAATGGGAACACTGCAAGTCTGACAAAGGTTTCATTCAAGCCTTTGTAGCTAGATTTCATACTTATGATCTGAATTTGGCCCAAACCACATTCCCCCTCCACCCCCAAATAGGGTTATATTGCCAAGACCACATTCAGTCAGCACCCCAAGGACCAAATAGCTTGGATTCCCAAGTCAGCCACAGCAATGGCAGTGAGCCCAGGCTCAACGCAACTGTCCTGTGATTGCACATACTGCTAGAAACTACGTTATTTTGAGCATCTAATTTTGGGTCTTGTTCCCAGCATCCATTACTTGATCCATTACATCCCGGAAAACTCATTCAGGGCCTAAGAACACAGCAGCACCAGGATGGACTCAACTGCAGAAGTCTAATTGTGACTTTGCTTACCCATATGCACATAGGGAAAGGAATTATACTTGGTCAAGATAGGCTACAGGGAGGCAGATGTGCCAGAGCCACGACAGTTGCTGACATGCTCTCAGGAACCATATCTACGGTGAAACCGTAAGTCTGAGTGCTGAATGACACACCACTCCTGCGCATGCCTGTTTACAGCTAACGCTGCTGCATCGCTTCAACAGGGCTTGTGTCACACATCCCATTTCTGACAGTCCATCCTCCCAGTCACTCCCTGTACTGCTGATACGGCCTGAGAGGCACCTGCATGCTCCCTGCCACACTGCACCTTGCCATTCTTCCCCAGGGAAGAAGAGCAGAAGCCTGCTCTGAGGGAATCATTTTGCTCCACTCCAATGGGAAACACCACCCACTATGATACAAATCATACATCAGAGCCTCTCCTTCCAGCAGCACCAGCCAAAGATAAAATACTTGGTGCAATAGTGCCCAAATAGGTTTCCCTGGCAGGAGAACAGATTCCCAGGTCAAGACTTCCAGCAGCTACCATGAGACGTCTCTGGAGTAAAAAGCTGCTGTGACTACATTTACTCAGAGGCGGTTTCACAAATCAAGGTGAAGTAACTCTTCAGGGAGCCTTTGTGGGGACAATGGGGCTTTGTCTTCTCAAACAGACTTTCAAAACACATCCCTGCAGCCACCTGTTTCCTGCTGCAGCAAGATGGGAACATGCAGGTGGATTCCTCCACACTAGCAATGGGCAACAGCCTGACTTCCCATGCGCTGCTATAAAGGAAAAGTAAAAACAATCCTCCTACACTAATAATAACAGCCCTTGCTAGAGCTGAATTTTACTCAGTCAAGCAAAACTTGCATAGACACATCAAGGCCCTGTAAATTGTCCCTCCCTGTCAGCCCCCCAAGGCACAAAACACTAATGAGTTCAGTGGAATGTGCTAAAAATGGCAAGAAGAGTTGGCACTGCCTGACCCAAAGCCAGGTGGGTCCAGTATTAACAGCAAGCCAGTTCCCGGTGGAACAAGTCTGTATTGGCTTGCAGACAGTATGTTAATAGACCCTGTGGTCTGGGAGAACCTAATTGAGAGCAGGCAATCTAGGAAAAAAGCATCTCTGTAGCTAGATTTTTACTGCTACTCCCATAAACACACTGAGCTGTAAAGCTCCCCCAGGGAAATCTCACAGTCACTTCAGAACAGGACCACGTGCAGAAACGAGCACTTGGAAAAGCTGAATGAGAGAAAGTTAGCACTGATCGGCTCGACAGGCAAAGAGCATCACTCCCAAGGACAAGCAAAGCTACCACTGTTGCTGTGAGAGCTGGACCAGAGAGAACAGGGTACAGTCTTGGGAACAGCCAGTCCCAAACAAGCACACAGACAAAAGCAGCCCACTGCTTAAGGAGAAAGCAGGGACATCAGAAAGCTAAATGTCTCTCTAGAGCTGTATTGATTGCTTTCTCAAGAGGGTACAGAAAGACTGTGGCTGAGAAGGGACATATAGAAAACATAAAAGGCTCCACTAGGAAACTGCTTTCAGCAAGGCCAGGAATTTCAGCCTGTAGGTGCAGAAATGAGGGATCCTAGAGTGAGCTAGCAAGTGAATTAATGTATCATCTCTCTCATGGAACAGCCACAAACGCTGTGACCCAGCAGTATCAATGGCAAGTGCCACTGTTCTGTTCTTCACTGGAGATGAGCAGGCTGACCTTTACAGCAGGGGAAGAAAAGAGGCACAAGCAGTTACCACAGCATGGGATGCATTACAAGTTCATGCTCTACCTTACTTTGCAGCAACTTGGACTTGCATTCATGGCTCAAAGACTCAAAGAACAGTCCTGTTGTCCCACCAGGTGTTAACCTGACAGCCTTTTATTTCTGCTGCTGCTGCTATCACTGCAGTGGATTTGCACAGTTGCATATGCTATCCATGAAAGGATGCAGGTATTCCTTTTAACTAGGCCCTGCTCTCTTCCAGCAGTAGCCAGTTCTGCACAGCCCCATGGCTAAATATGAGGTAGATTCCTTCAGGTTTGTAGTGGATCTGCCTTTGGTGCCTGTAAATTTCGGAAACTAATCCTGGCAGAACTTTTTGGAGGAAAATACAGGACTGGAGGAGAAACAAGCAGTATTAGGCTCTTGTGAGGGCATGAACTGAAGATTAACATATTCCTACTACATACTGTTGGAAAGAGTCCAGAGGAGGGCGACGAGGCTGATCAGAGGGCTGGAGCACCTCTCCTATGAGGACAGGCTGAGAGAGTTGGGATTGTTCAGCCTGCAGAAAAGGCGGCTCTGGGGAGATCTAATTGCGGCTTACCGGTACCTGAAGGGGCCTACAGGAAAGATGGTGAGGGACTGTTTATCAGGCAGTGGAGTGACAGGACAAGGGGGAATGGGGTTAAGCTGAAGGAGGGGCAATTTAGATTAGATGTTAGAAAGAAATTCTTTACTGTTAGAATGGTGACGCACTGGAACAGGTTGCCCAGAGAGGTTGTGGAGGCCCCATTCCTGGAATTGTTAAAGACCAGGTTGGAGGAGGCTGTGGGCAACATGGTCTAGTGGAGGGTTGCCCTGCCTGCAGCAGGGAGGTTGGAACTAGATGATCTTTAAGGTCCCTTCCAACCCAAACCATTCTATGGTCTTCACACCTATCCAAGATACATCTCAAACCTTCCAGAAAAGCTTCCCTGAGGGGAAGGTAAAGTTGGTGACACATGTCAAAAATAGCACAGAGTTTTGCTGTGAGTCAGCCCCAAGACAGGGAATCAGTGTAGCTTGTAATTGTAAACAATTCAGAAGCAGTCTAACCATGGAATACCTTTGGGACAAAGCTACTGCTGCAAAGCAAGAGCTGATGTCAAAAACAGCTAATGCAGATTAGGTTCAAAGCAACTATTCAGCACTGAGCATGGGGCAGGGTCCCGAAATCCTGCCCTCCTCCACCCTGTCAGGCATCAGAGTGCTTTATAAACCTCAGGACCCAGGATGTCTCCAAGGGCTAACATGCTCATTGTGTAAAGGAAGAAATATCCCAGTGGGATATTGAGAAGGGCCAGGCTAACACCCTTCACCCAGCTCTAATGACATTTGCCACCTCCTGCAATGCCAGACTTCATACTCACTTCCTAATAGCTTCTGGCAGTAACCCTGACTGACAGTGCATAATTCAGCAGCTTTCTTTCCTTTGAACTTTGAAACACAGTAATTACACTAGCACGCTTCATGCATACTGTAAGGCATGAGCCTCATTTGAAAAAGTGGTCTGGTTGGTGTGTTTAATTTTTTAAATTTTTTTTGGCAATTTAGATTTAGGGGTTTCTTTCCCCCCTCTCAGACACTGCACTATCCCTTTCCAGCTTCCTGCTAGATTAAATGTTTCACTGAAATCCCAGTCTGCAGGCAAGAATGCCAAGAGGAGCTGTCACCACTGCTTTGCTTCTCTAAGCAATCGTATGTGAAGTATAGGGCACACATCCTCCACTGCTGCAGGGAAAAGCAGAGCTGTGCCAATTTGCATAACAATGTGGCCGTACCCAGCTTGCTTGATTTACTTTCACTGAAGCTTGGCCCCCAGAGGCCTTGCTGATTGACACCTGCTTCATGAGTGTATCCCTGCCATCCCAGGCAGCAGCTCTTTACAGGCGATAGTACGCTGGCACCATGCCCAAAGACAGAGGCTACCAGCAGTATGGTCATAGAGCTCAGAATTTAGCAGAAAGCTTGTTGACAACTCTGCTGTGTTGAGAACTGCCTCTCCCTGAGTCTGTCACATGCTTACTCAGAGGTACAGCTCCCATTAGACAGTTGGCACCCAGTTGCCCAACACTTGTCTCAATTTTCACACCGAAGAAGGAAGAGTCCAGAGGCATTGCTGAGAGATAAAGGAAGAGGGATCTTTTCTGGTGCTTTTCTCACACCTTTGAAGTGTGAAATGTCTTGAAACAAATCAAGAATGTTTCTTGCAGCAGCTGTCCCTGTGCTGTCAGTGCCTGCTGGAGCTGAACCATCGCCCCTCCAGTGACAGCTGCTATGGACAAATAATTTCAAAAGGGAATCATCTGCTG